TGTGTTGAGACTACAACCCCCATCATCTCTCATCAGCCTAGCTAATCTGGAAGGCACCGAGCTGGGGAAGTCTGCTTTAACCCAACCCCTGAGGTAACAAAATCCCTCCCTAATATAATTATTCAAGTACAATTGGTTCTTATCAACTCGCCCAGACTTCACTGAGTCTCTGTCCCCAAACCATATGTCCCACCTTCCCACCCACAGGTTCCTAACAGAAAATCAGGCTGAACCAATTTGTCTAGATGAACAGAAGGATCAGGGTCACCTATAAAGGAAGGTAAGGTTTGGACAGGGGTCTTCCAGATATTGACTCCTGATCTGATCAGATGTGCTGCGGGAAAGAACTAAACTGGCACACCAGGATTTTTTTTTTTACAGATGGATCAGCAAGTTTAGCAAGAGATAGTGTAGATGCGCCTTTTTTCTAAGACTCCATCAGCCAGGAGGGAAAGCCAAGCTTCATTCCTGGGCAACCGAGAGGGCCCTGCTACCAACATGTTCTTTTATCCTATTCCCATTCTCCAGCACTGATCCTCTTGCGAGCCATTCTCTGTTCTTCTCCTCCAACTACCCAATTTCCGAGATCGGCTCCCAGAACCATGTGCTGCTCAGTCAGGGAGAAACTTCTTTCCTGGACTAGATAATTTTCACATATTAAACAAACCCTTAGCATAGCGCTGGTGAGGATCAAGCACTACCTGTCCCAGGTAAAGTGGTTCCTTACCAAAAAAAAAAAAGGCAGAGGCGCACAAACACATCTCTTCTCTGACAGCCACAAAAGACAGCAGGAAAAGATGCAACCATTACTACAGGATGGGAAAACTGAAAGCTGGATTTGGCTGGCTACAGAACAAATCAGCTGCCACCCCACAATCCATCTGATATGCCTCAATAGTTTCAATACTCTTGCTTTCTTTGCAAGGCCTGTGTGATTTCCACTCACTCAGCTAGCCAATCCTCCAGAACTTTGTGGGACACCCCTCCCCATCACTTCCTGAACCGTGTCCCTTGGAATGCCAAGGGAGACCCTGATCAATAATTATACAAGAAAGCATTTTGATAGTCAGCATCAGAAGGCTGTGCTGGAGGAGAGGCAAATGAAGAGGAGAGGCAGCAGTCCCAGGCAACAAAGGAAGAGAGACTTGCTCCCTTAGGAATAAGAAACAGTTTGTAAGCATCAGTCTGTGTGAAAGAGAACCACACACACAGTATGGCAATACAGGTTTGAGGGTGCACATGTGAATGTGACAGATGCTGGATTCGGTACCTTGCCACAAATGGAGATGCGGCACCTCCTCACTGCATGCACCAGGAAGGGGAAGAAGGGGCAGAGCAGGAAGAAAAAGAGCCCCATCGGGAAGCGCACCAGCACCCCAACGACTTCCCATCACGGATGTAATTATTTATTCTGCACTGGGACACAGTACAGAAAGGCATTTTTTCCGGAATTGTTTGGTGCTTGTTGTCTCTCTTGCTGAGGCAAAAGACCAGAGAATCACCTGCACAACAATTAATCCAGCAAAATACAGGAAGGCAATGAAGAGGCCAATCAGGAGATGAGAGAGAGAAATTCACACATACTCCCTCATTCCCATTTCTTTACTTTTTAAATCAGCAAGGCCCTCAAGGCAGCTGAAAGGCTTTTTCCCCATCAAACCAAACCAAACCAAAGCAGGTAGATTCCCTCTGCAGGCCAGGAACTTTCTAGCCTCGTGCAAGTTCTTCTGTTCTACTTTGTATGAAACTCTTTAGCCATTCCGATGCTTTCTTGACTTGGGAAAGACTCAAGAAATATGAACACCTTTAACTTCACCCTCCCCAGCATTCCTCTAGAAAACCAAATGAACCCATATTTGGTTCTACCAGATCCAAAATGTATAGCTTTCAAAAAAGCCAAAACCAAACACACATTAGTTGCTGTAGAGGATCTGTTTAACTTTCAGCTCCTCAGCAGTGTTCAATCTTGTACAGATCAGTGATCTGCTAAAAGAAAAAAAGATTCATCATCTGAAATCCAAACTGTTATCATCACCTCAGACATCTCTCTCAAGTTCTTGGGAAGAGAACCTGGTTGTCTCCTGAGGAATTCTGGATCCACATTTCCAGAGATCTGTCCAAATTTAGCTTTTGAGATTTGCCATCCAAGAAAGGGAGGGGAAGATTTTAAAAAATCAACAAAACTTGCTTGAATGAATCCATTTGAAACCATCTCATTTGAGGAAGCTTGACAAGTTGTTGGCAGGGGAAGGAGTCTTCTTCGAGAAAACACTGCTGCATTTGTATACAGTTAAGAGACCTTCTGACAAACAGAAATAAACAATTCATATCCTTCATCTTGTTTGCCATCATCCTTCCAAAGCCTAGGCAACCTTCACATCCCCATACCTCTAATCCCAAGAGGCACAGAGACACAAGAGCAAAGCCAAACAGTACAGAGTCCTTGGAAGAAGGAGGTGTGCGCTTTTTTTAAAGGCACCAAGATAATAAGCAACAGCATTTGTTTTTGTTTTAAAGATTCCACAGCCCATAACTGAAAAGCAATCCCAGTACATTTTCTTTCTCCATTAGAAAATAGGGGACCTGCCCCCCATTTGCTCCCACAATGAAAATGCCCCCCTCCGGAGGGGGCTGTGGATTAAGACATTTTCCAGAAGGTCAATGAGGCAGTCAAAATGCCAGCGGCAAATACAGCAATAGTTTGCCAGGTGGGGGTGCCAAAATAGGACAGGAGGCCTTCCTGGAAGGGGAAAAGAAGGGAGGGGGGAGAAGTGATGTTGCTACATGGTGAAAACGTTTGCCCTCCCCAATCATATATGAGAGAGAGAGACTGGAAGTCCAGTTTTCAACCGCCAAAAGGGTGTATGCATAGATTAAGCCCATCCCTGAATCACGGTTTTTCTGTCTGTAGTCTGCAGCCCATCTCACCGCGACTAGGAGCTTTTTCCTCAGCTGACCTTGATAAAGGAAATGAGCTCAGCTAGGAGGAACAGCAAGAAGCAACCGTGCAGGAGGCCAGCTGTCAGAGTAGTGAGTATTAATTTCTTATCCCCTGTGAGATCACTGTTGCTGCTCTTCGCGGAGCTTTGTTTGGTTAATCAGGATATAATCACAAGTTTAGACAAAAGAAAGGTCTACATCTCCCAACATGCCTCAACCGGCCGTGCCTTTTTCTGCCTAACCATGTAAAGGATCGTACCTTTAATCTATAAGAGCAGCCTTAACTGACATGATTCTTTCCAGGTGTCTTGGACTACAATTCCCACAATCCTTGAGTTTCCCAGCCCTGCTTTAAACAAAATGTCAGCTGGCCCTCTGGAGTTCCCTAGATGGCTCAGCCCATTTCGCCAACCAACAACTGCTTGAGGGTTTCCCACCTTTTGCATGGTTTTCCCCGTATTCAAGAAACTTAAGACAACTCTCCTAAATTTGAATTATTGGCAGCAACAGCTTTAAGCTAAAATATGCTGGCATTTTTTAGCCTTTGGCCTCATTCACCACTGGAATGCAGCCCCCTGAGAGCTTCTCCAAAACAGAATATGGCCTTTAGGCTGAAACAGATTTAGTTCCTCTGGCCAAGATAGGCCTTGATGCTGGAGAGGGAAAAAAATCAGAAAAGACTCACCCATCCACCTTGGGCTTGGATCCAACTCAGGACATGAAGTTGGATGTATTCCATTGTCCAGCTGATGATGGTTCTTATGAGCTCTGGTAATTTAGTGCAAACTGCCTGCCCAGGAGCAACAGAAGAGAAGGAAAGATGAGTCAAGTTATTAGAAGGCCTCAGGGGAAGGGACAAACAAAAAGTGAGGGATGGCTGCTCACTTACTTTTAGAATCAACTTGCAAGCAAAGTAGAACAAAGCTACTACACGGCCCCAGTTGAAGGTGCCGTCTGAGAACATCTCAGCAGCCACTCGGAAGAAAACTTCCTTGGGGGGATACATCTGAACTTGTTCTATCATCCTGCAAGGGGAAGCATAAGAAAAGTCTGGGTTAGGGAGAGGGGGAGAGAGCATCTCTGCCGTTTTCTTGGGAAGGACAGCTCGGGGGGGGGGGGGGCGCAACCCCCACAAAATATGCTTTCATGGGAACAGTGCTAAGTGCAAGCCTCTGCAGAGCTCATGCTTAACTCTCAGCAGGCCTGGGAAAGCAGAGCGATGGCCTTGAGAGCAGAACTCATCAAGTCACGTGCCCTCAAGAGCGGCCTTCCCCAGCCAGCAGTAAAGGGGGTGCAGGCCAGCCCATTCAGGGTGTGCCAGGCTGGGGAATGCCGTTGTTCACCACGGACCAGTGATAAAACACACCTCTGCAGCTCTATGTTTCCATCCAGCTCATCCCCGATCCGGCGCAGGCACTCACTCAGTTGCTTGGTGCTGGGGTCACAACCCTGCGGCTCTGAGCCTCCGAGCTCTACCATGGCCACCTCAATGCGCTCGGAGTCTCCACAGCTCTGCACTCGGTCCATAATGAAGCTGCCACAGATTCCGAGAGAGAGAGATCAGGGGGAGCACTTCAGCCAGAGGTTTAACACCAGCCTGTTGCTGGTGCAGCTCCTCACCAGAGGAGTCCCACCACCAAGACAGGACTTCCTCTCCAACTGCCCCAGAAAACTATGCTGTAGCAGTACATGCGAGCAGTCAGAGGCCTCGCGTAACTGCGATCCTAGCTGAGCACTCACCCTTTGAGAAGAACTGTTCCTGTCTGCAGGATCTGATCCGAAGAGGTGCCTAGAAGGGACAGAAGCATAGTATAGAAATAAGCTAAGTGGAGGGAAAGCTATGCAGAGGTTCAAGTTGCAAAAACCAAGAAACAAAGAGCAGATTTAGATTTGCTGGAGTGAGTAGGCCTGACCCTCCCTGGAGTCCAGGGGTCTTCAACAGGCCCCTCTCGTAGCACCTACCAAGCTCTCTGGCCCTTCCAATCTATATTCTATTTCTGAGGAATGTTTTTAATGTTAGCTTGTTCAACTAGGAGGTTGGCTTGTTGCAAAGTGAACTGTTGCCCTTCAGCACCATCTCCATTTGGGTAAAAAAGAGCAGCTGTGTATTTTGGACCTCAGACTGTACCTCCAGCATGTGCTTAGGTTCTTATGCAACTATTTTTGCTCCTCATCTCATGATTTGCCTTCTGGGAAATCAATACTAGGCTTGCTCACCAGGGCAGTCATTTTATGAGAACACCCAAAATTCCAAATGTAATCAGTAGTCCTAAAAGACTGGAATTCCTGCTGATCAACACTAAACGACAGGGATGTTGAACCTCTTCAACTTGAGGGCTCAATCTAATCATTTATTTATTTATTAGATTTATATCCCAAAGTTTTTCCTTTCCAGAAACTCATAATTTTCCTCCTCTTCTCAATCTTATCTCAACAACAACAACCCTGTGAGGTAGGTTGGGCTGAGAGTCTGCGACTGACCCAGGCGAGCCAAACAAACAAACAAACCAAAAAACCAAACACCCTCCTAGGCCACATTCCAGGCATGGAGAGGGCTGAAGGTTAAAGGGGGTTATATATCTATACAACCTTATGTATAACCTTAATGAATACATTTAAAATAGAAGAGCAATTTTTTCTTTTATTTTTAAGGGTGTTGTGTAGGATTGCTGTGAATGGAAATATTTCATGTCATGGTCTTTCTTTTTTCTTTCCCTCTTTGGCCTGTCTTCTTTTGTTGCAGATGCCCTCTCTCCACCACCAGCATTTCCTCTTCATTTTATTTACAAATAAAAATGGTATAAAGAGACTCACATTTCAAGCCTGGAAATCTAAACACCCATGAGGTGTGATTTAACTGCCTGGCGTTCTTGCTAACACATAAAGGCGAATCTCAGAGCAGTCAATTTCATTTGAATACTTAAGTAGCTCTATAGCTGTCTTCTGCCCCTGGCTAGGGCAATCACTGCTTCCCAGGGACAGAAGGGAAGTCCTGCTGGACCAGGCCAAAGTCCTCGTGTTTTTTCCCCTGATTTATACCCTACCTTTTTCCTATAAAGGGCTCAAGGCAGCTTACTCATTCTCCTCCTCCATCTTATCCCCACAACAACAACCCTGTGAGGTAGGTTGGGCTGAGAGTCCGTGACTGGCCCAAAGTCACCCAGTTGGCTCCAGGGCCGAGCAGGGACTAGAACCCTAATCGCCTGAGTCCCAGTCCCATGCTCTTAACCACTACACCACACTGGCTCTCTACTACAGTGACCAATCAGATGCCTCTGAGAAGATCACAAACAGGATGTGAGGGCAATAGCTGGTACTCAGTAACATCCTGCCAGGAGACATGTCAGTTCAGTCATGGCTGACAGGCATATTCATGAACAGTGAATGACTAAGTAAAGCCACCTGTCTATCAGCACATCTTATAGCCGTAAACTATACAGCTAATTATGTGAAAAAGAACTTCCTTGTGAGCAAAAATTTTTTCTGAAGTACTTTGCCCCTTTTTGTCATATTGTCCTGATAATGTCCACTCCAAAGATCAACCCCATTGAGCTCTACAGGGCTTTATCATGATAGATTCAACCTGAATCTACCAGCTATCATTTCCCTTGGGTGATTCTCCCTCTCTCCCAGCCCGGACCCCAGTGTCTGTGTTAAAGGGCAGAAAAAAAAGTCATCTCCCCATTTTTTCCACCTCATATGTCTCTAATATAGCGGGCACACCATCCTACTAGAGAAAAGAGTCCTGTATCCCACCTGCTTTCATAGATCGGGACCACTCACTCTATTTATCCTCAAGATGGCAGCAGATGTCATACAGGGCAAGAGAGAAACTCAGCAAATTCTTCCTCAACCTCCCCCCACTCCCAAATAACCCATTTCCCTTTTGTTTCCATGAGCAGCCTCCCTTTTCCCACCAATGTGGTCTTGTTGTTATGAGTGACTGTCATCTTTAGAGTGACTAGCAACTTATTCTTGTATCAGATACTGGCAAAGAAGTGTTGGACACAAACTCTGCATTTACACCCAGGAGATGCAGATGGTTTGAGGCAGCATTCTGTAGTGCCCAAAACACACTGCAGTTGTTAGGCGGGGTGCCTCTCTTCTGCCAGTGTGCAAAAACACGAACACATCACAGGCTGCTCTTAAAAGCAGACTGGACTCCAAGCAGGAATTGGAAATAAAGCTTGGCTCAACACTTTCTGCTATTGCACCATCTACCCATGCTGAAATCAAAGCCTCTTCTTCCTCTCCATTTTTTTCTGCATCACAGAGAATATTTACAGACAGCAAATGAAAGTTCACCTTGGTCTAGTTACCCACTCTCCGCCTAACTGATCTCACAGGGTTGTTATGAGGAAGAAGTGGGGGTGAGAGGGGAGGGAATCCTGGAGGTCCTTGCTAGAAGAGGCAGGGTTATGAAGCGTAGTGAATAAGACCATAAATATAGCTGCAAGCCCAGGCATGCCTACTGCTTTCCCAGGAACACCGGGCTGTCCGCTACAGGTAGCAAGAAGCTACAGTAGCCATCCCCAGCCTAACGCCTCACCCGATGTGTTGGATTACAGTTCCCATCACTGAGTGGCCACAGTGGCTGTGTACATTGGGAATGATAATCCCACCACACCTGGAAGGTTTCAGTGGCGGGGAACGCTGCTGTCCGCACCTCCCTGGGAGCAAGTCCCACTGAACGCCATGGGGTTTACTCCCGAGGAGGCCCGCAAGGATGTCTGCGCAGTAGCAGGCTCCAACAAGGCTCTTCTGACGTTTTCCTGCAATAAAGATACGCGTTTTCCCCTCCTCTTCCTGCTATCCATCCATGCATCCATCCATGCATCCATCCATCCCACCCTCGCTTCTGGAGTGCTGCCCACATGCCCCTCCACACTCGGCTCACGCTCTTCCTTTCCTGCGCCCCCGTTGGCGGGCGCGCTCACCTCCCATGCGCTGCGAGGGGTCCGGCTCATTCTCAGCACCCGCCGCCGCCATCTCGCCGCCGCACTGCGCCCCGCTCCGCCCAGCCCAGCCCAATCCGAGGCCGGCAGCCCGTGTTACAGAAAGTCACGTGACGCGGCAGCCGGAGGCGCGCAGGCAGCAAGAGTGTCTATTTAAGAAAGAGGAAAGCGCGATGCGGGGGAGAGGGTGCTTCGTCATGTCACATCACGTCACGTGATTCAAGCGAGGTACCAGAGAGGTGGAAAGTGCTAGCGTGGCCCGCGTATCTCTTTATGTCCTGTTTCCGGTTTGTATGGCAAAGGAAGTCTATGGTTTCTCTCCGAAGTTCCCACCCTGTGTTCGGTTAACGGGGTTTATAGCCCTCTCGCTTTTTTAATTCCTAGAACTGGGGAAGAAATCGTCACTGCCTTAGGAAAGGAAAACTTGCCCAAGTTCCTTTGGTCGCAAGACAGCCGTGTAGTAGCACCTTGTGGGGAAATGGTGACAAGGGAAGCCATCTTGCCCCACAGGCGAACCGAAGCCTCGTCCCCACTATTACCTCCGAGTGGCCTTCTCCTGTTGTGCTGTGCACTCCAACTCCCAGAATCCCCGATCAGCATGATGGGAGCTGTAGACCAGCATACCTGGAGTGCATCAGGTTGGGCAAGGCAGGGTCAGAGGATGGGGCTTCGATCGATTACAGTTGCACTGGGCTGTGAGTTCAACTTTTGCCTCTTAATGGCCGTAATGTTGGCATCCCACTGGAAAATACCTTAAGAATAGGCTCACGTAATACATCGCTAAAACAAAGAAAATTAAGTTTGCAATCGAGCTGTGTTGAACATAGTGGGACTGAATTCTGTGTTAAGCATGTATAGGCTTGCACTTAAGGGCGCAGTCCCATGTTTTTATCCCTGTCTAAGGGGTTTTGTTCCTGTCTAAACACACAGGATCTCGCCATCAGTCTAAAATAATATACTCTCTTGCCAGAGATTCAGTCACACTGAAAGCAGTAGGCCAGGCATGTCCAAAGTCCGGCCCGGGGGCCAATTGTGGCCCGTTTTCAAATTTCAAGCCGTCCGCAGCCTCTTCTCCCAGCCAGCTCAGCCTGTCACTCATCCCCACTGGCCGGTGTTTTTCCCTTCACCGCACAGCGGTTCCCGCAGCTGTCCCCCGCTGCCTCCTGCTCCTTCAAGGCTGGTGGTTATATTTCACCAGATGATGGCAGTAGACCTGAGTCAGCGCTCTAGCGGCGTGACCCTTGTGACACAAGGCCTGTGTGCCCATTTCTAAAATGGAGACTGTAACTAAGAAAAGGAAAGTTGACAGTGAGGGCCCGCTTCCAGGACAAGTGGAAATTGGAGTATTTTTTCACTGAAATACGAAACAACTGTGTCTGCCTAATTTGCCAAGAGACTGGCTGTTTTCAAGGAATTCATTATCAAGAGGCACTACCAGACGAAACATGCTAACTACAACAAGCTAACTGGGAACGAACGCGGCGAAAAATGGAAGGAACTGGAAGCTGCTTTAACGGCACAGCAGCACTTTTTCACAAGAGCCCGTGAGTCAAATGAAAATGCCACAAAGGCGAGCTATGAGGTGGCAACGCTGATTGCCAAGCACTGCAAACCTTTTACTGAGGGTGAATTTATTAAAGACTGCGTGATGAAAATGGTGGAGAAAATTTGTCCTGAGAAGAAGCAAGAGTTTGCCAATTTTTGCCTGGATCGTAACACTGTGGTACGGAGAATTGAAGGCATTTCATCTGATATTAAGAGACAGTTAGAGGCAAAAGGAGTGGCGTTTGACTTTTTTTCGTTAGCCTGCGACGAAAGCATGGATGCATCTGACACCGCTCAGTTATTGATTTTTTTGAGAAGAGTGGACAATGACATGAACGTGAGTGAAGAGCTACTTGACCTCCAGAGCCTTAAGGACCAAACAAGAGGAACAGATTTATTTGTTTCTGTTTGTTCCGCCATAGATGACATGAAACTACCGTGGAATAAAGTCACTGGGATTATTACAGATGGCACACCTGCCATGGCTGGTGAGCGAAGTGGATTATCAACCCTAGTCTGTAACAAAGTCAACGAAGAAGGAGGCAAAGCTATAAAACTCCACTGTATTATTCACCAACAAGTTCTCTGTGCCAAACATCTGAAATATGATCATGTTATGAAACCGGTGATGAAGGCTATTAATTATATTTGCTTCAAAGCCCTGTGCCACTGCCAGTTTCAACAGTTTCTACTCAACATCCAGGCTGAATACGGAGATGTTGTGTATCACAACGAGGTAAGATGGCTCAGTTGGGGGTCTGCACTGCAGCGCTTCTACTCTCTTAGGGAGGAAATCGGACAATTCTTGGCAAAAAAGGGACAACCAGTGCCAGAGCTATCTGATCCTGTTTGGCTGGCTGATTTTGGATTTTTAGTTGACATAACACAACATCTGAACGTGCTGAACACGAGCCTTCAGGGTCAAAATGCAGTGGTAAGCCAACTGTATTCACATATCAAAGCCTTTGGGACCAAGCTGCTACTTTTCCAAAGGCACCTGTCACAAACGCAGCCCAATACCACACATTTCCCATCGCTGCAGGAAATAATGACCAGTTTTCCACAGAACAATATGAGTGCGCAAATAAGGAGGCATGAAGCAGACACCTCATCTCTGGCTGGAGTTTCAACAGCGCTTTCTGGATTTTGCAGCTATTGAAAAGGAGATCACGCTTTTTTCATCTCCTTTCTCTGTGGACCCTGATGACACTCCAGACCACCTGCAGCTGGAGCTCATTGAGCTGCAGTGTGACGCCGAGTGTCGCAGTCGGCACCAACAGCTCCCTCTTGTCAACTTTTACCGCCAGCTGGATAAAGACAGGTTCCAAGAGATTCGAACATTTGCTAAGAAAATGCTGAGCTTGTTTGGTTCGACATACTTGTGTGAGAAGACATTCTCGGTTATGAACATTAACAAGAACCGCGTGAGGATGAGACTAAGTGACTTTCACCTGCATGATATCTTGCGCATCAAAACCACTGTTTTTGAGCCAGACCTGGCCTATATAATGCAGTCGAGATGCCAGTATCACCCTTCACATTAGTGCAGTTATTTGTTCAGTCTTTCATAAAATAGTTCATTTGCATTTAATGTTAATGGTTCAAAGAATGTCAGGCTGAATGGTCGGCCCCCACACATTTTCACCTCACCAAATCTGGCCCTCCTTGCAAAAAGTTTGGACACCCCTGCAGTAGGCACAGCCCATTGCAAGATTACAGCCCCTTCCTATGTTCAGTGAGCTACCAGTTGTAAACCAGGGTATACCAACTGGTCAGGAGGCAGATGAGTCAGGAATTTGCCCATTCAGGTTTCCCAAATGCCTCTGCTGTAGGATTGGTGTGAGACATCCTTGGAAGCAAAGATGGTATGCCTCAGAACCAGCCACCCATTGCCCACTGGACTGCAGCAGGAAGTTCTTCAAAGTGATGCAGGGGCAGTTGCCTGAGGTACCAGGTCTCAGATCCGGCAATGGGACTAATTCTGTATAAAGCCCAGGATTATGCTATTAGGATGAAGTTTATATATGTTATATATACATGTATGCACATCCAAAGAAAAATTAGGATTTTACGCATATTATAGTTTGTATCAGACCAATTAAATCAATGTAAGAAAATATCCATGGATCAGATCAAGGGCATATAACCTACCTTCCCCTTTCAGCTGTCCTCAGAATATTGTTATAAACAAATCAATCCATTAATCCATTGTCAATGAGAATATTTTAGCTTAAATATTTAATTTATTTAAGGTAATCATAATCATAGTGTCCTGTACATGATAGTTCCATATTTTCTGTTAATTGAAAAGGATAACTTTTGGGTAAATACAGAAAAGTTTGAGATGCAGCATGTTTCATATTCCTTGTGTTAGAGTCCAGTCCAATTCTATGTGTTTGCTTAATGGTAAGCTCTATTGAGTGTGTATATATACTTTAAATCCTTCTATTCAGAAGGCAGTCCCATTGAGTTCAGTAGGCCTTACATCCAGGCAAGTGGTAGAAAATTGCCTTTTTAAAGATGGCACATTTTTAGAGCTTTCTGCAGTTCCATAAACACTTGCCTGGGTGTAAGGCCCAATGAAATGATGAAACTTAAGTAAACCTACTTCAGCTTACAGCACAATCCAGTTTATATGAAACTGGAAACAAATGATGTGAAAAGTAGCAGGACTGCATTTTCTTCCGAGCAAACAAGAATCGGCTCAGGCTGTATGGCTTTATCACTGCAGTTTCCCCATTTGTACCGTCCCCACAGATGTCTGGTTTTCCTGTTGCTTTTGGTTACAAAGGCTGCAACTCATTCTGCAGATGACTTCCAAGGGTGCGTTGGCTCTGAACTTGCACAGTCAGAACAAAACTGAAACCGCTTTGCTCGTGGGGGCTGCTAAAGAAGGCAGAACACGTGTCTTGTAGACACTGAGCTTGCAACACAGCGAGGGTACGTTACAAAACACTGCTTTGATTCAGTGCTTGCCCAGTTGACCCACCCTTGCTATAATTCAGGAAATCTGACGAAAACAGAGCAGCACAGAAATCTGCTGTTACATAAAAACTGAGCGTTTTCAAAACCCGAATTCAAGACAGTACAGTTGAAATGCCAAATAGTTTTATTGAAGGAAAAAAAATACATTCCCTTTGATCAGAATATCCTGCTCTTGTTTGTGGGAAATTTGTGCACCACAAGTTGTGCTTCCCTCATCTCTGAAGAAATCCAAACACATGGCCTGAATGGCGGAGGCTTAGTTCCCTCCTATGATTTCACCAACATTAACAGAAATTCTAGAAACAATACAGTTCATTTACTGAACCATTGAGATTGTCTATTAACTCCCCATAGAGAATATTATAAAAACAATCCACTGTCAGCTTCAGAATCCAACTGAGTATGGCACGTTCTCACGATCAGAACCAGGTAGAGCTGCCTTTATTCCTCATAGAGGCAGGGGCTTCTCTGTTTTTAACAACAGTGTAACTTGAGACAAGATGAGAGGTGCCACTTTTCTGAAGTTTCCAAGGCTAGCCTGCACACTCAAATGCTGCTTAATATCATCATCAGGTCCTGGAAAATACTGACTGCAGGTCACGTGTGAAGTCTTACCAGGTGCCCTGGCAGAATTTTCAGTTGTGTAGTGAAGGGACTGGCATTTGGGGTGGGGGGTTCCTGCTAGCAACCTTTGTGATGGCTCAGTAACCGACTGACAACAGCAACAATTAATACGGTGTTATGAGATATATGGTTGTAAGATGTATGTTTGTATTATCAGCAAACGTAGGTCCCTGCCCTCAAGGAGCTTACAAGTTAAAATAGACAGTGGGGGAGATAATGATAGGATGGGAAGGGTACAGAAAAGAGCAGGGGGAAATGAATGTTGTGGCACTTTCACAGACAATCAACCCTCAGTAAATCTTACACTTTCCCTGCCTTCTTGGATCTCAGCAATCCTTAATCCTCCAAGGACAATCCTCTGAAGTCAACTCACTTTAGTTTTTCAAGTGCTCATAGTTAAAAGGAAGATTTTAAGTGTCCTCTCACAAGAACAGTGGAACTCCATGGTGGTAGTGCAAACTAGAAGTTTAATTTTTTTTAATTGTTTCCACTTCAGTTTTACTTATCTTCAGTTCACTCCTTTTTAATTCTTTTCAAAGTACTCAGGTTCTCAGTCAGTATCCAGCAGGGCAGCTCTGGAGTGAAATAGCTATGCTTTATTAACCCTCATTTTGTGAAGGCTCCTTATGATATCATCATCCATTTGTAATCCTATTATTTAACATTTTTAAAGGGTCAGTCAGATTGTTCCCTCCCCCCACTCAAATGGCCGTTCAGTTGAATTGGACCTTTCTCTTCCCCACTCATAGGCCCAGAACTTTGCAAGGAATGAGCGGGATGAACATAGAGAAAAAAATGTGGTATTCCTCTGTTGCAATGTTGCGTCTAGCTTACAGCACAAGTGCAATGTTTGCCAGTGCTAGGAGTTACTCACCAGGAAGCAGCCCAGTTTCCAGAACAGCTGGTATCCTGATTCAAGTCAGCTCAACGCCTTTTTTTTAGCTGCAGCAGCTGCCTTCGCTATCTGCACTAAATGAACAGCACCGGAGAGGTCTAAAATCCCCCATCATCAAGGATGTTGAAAAATACCACAAGGGTCGGGATGATCCATGGGGCACATTCCAGTGGACTTCCCAGTTAGTCCTGCCTTTCTTCTTCCTGGACAAGCAAGTATCCATTGCCCTTGACATTGGGATCAGCCAGGCCATCTTTGTCTTCTGCCTCGTCTTCATCCTCCGTGGGCACAGGAGCCATGGCCAAGCCAGGCCGGTTTCCTTGTTGCTGGACAAACCGCTCAATCAACAGCTGCCGGAGGTACATGACCGGGATGGGAAGAGCTGCGATGACTATAAGGCCTATGAGCATGCCCAGGGCCCAGGGCGGATATTCCAGCTGCTGCTCCTCTGCCTGCACAGGAAACACATCCCAAAAATCAGAACCCACATGCCCATTTGACTAGGTGTCAGACAAGGGTTTTCTACAGTTGTGGGGGGAAGTTCGGCACAGCGGGCTGTTCCCACCGTGGTCACACCAGCTCACCAGAAGAAGCGACACCGTCGGCAGCACAAGCCCGAATGCACAGAGAATTTTTCTCTTCGAGCTTTGCACCCCCTGCCTCACACCAAAGGACGGTCGGGTGCAGAAAAGGAGTCGGCGTTCCAAGGCTGGCGCAGCCTTCTCAGTGTGCCAGCAAGTCACCACGCCAGTTAAAACAGCACACCGTTAAACGGGAGTGCAGAGCCCCTTTCAGCCTGAGACCCGCCTGAGTCCATAGCAGAGGGGTCTTCAGGGGCTGTGTTCCCCGAGTGGGCAGGGCAAGGCACGGGGTGGGGACAGAACAAGAAAAATGCCACCATCTTGTCACTTAAAGCGTTTAGTGCTTAAATCAAGTCTTAGGAGAGGTGTTTCAACCTTTTAGAACTGGGGGGGGGGGGAACTGTTGCCAGTCACAAGCGGGTGTGAGAAAGGGAATGCGAATTAAGAAGAGCCATGACGGCCCAAGTCGGGGCTGCCTAGTCTAGCATTCTGCTCACAGTGGCCATCCAGCTACCCGTGGGAAGCCCACGGGCAGCAACACCCTCCCGCCCATATTCCCCAGCAACTGGTGCACACAGGCATGCTGCCTCTGATATTGAAAGCAACATATTCATCAGGAATAGCAGGCACAGATAGCCGAATCCTCCATGAATTTGCCCATTACTTTTTTACAGCCGTTCACAGTGGTGTCTGTCACCACATTTTGTGGAATGAATTGCATCGCTTAACTCTGTGCAATGTAAGTAAGCATTTCCTTATATTTGTCCGAAACCTCCTGTCAGTCGACCTCATGGGATGACTCCTTTGGGTTCTAGTATGATGAGAGAAGCAGGAAAATGTCTCCCTATCCATCTTTTCACACCATGTATAATTTGGAACACTTTTACCAAGTTTCTCCTTACTTGTCATTTTTCTAAGCTCAGAAGGTCAGATGGTGTAACCTTTCCTCATAGGAGAATTGTTCCAATCATTTTAGCTGCCCTTATCTATATTATTTCCAGCCCTACAATATCTAATTTTAGGAGTGATGACCAGAACTGTATTCAGAATGCTAAGTTTGCTCACAGCACAGATTTGTAGAAAGAGAATACAGCCTTGGCAGCTTTATTTTCAAGTCCTTTCCTAATTATACCTCACATAGAGTTTTCCATTTTCATAGCAGCTGCACCCTGGGTAGATACTTTCATTGAGCTGTTTACCGCAACCCCAAAATCTCATTCTTGGAGTCACTGCTAACTCCCATCACTTCTGGTTATACTTAAAGTTAGGACCTTTTTGCTCCAATGTATGCTATTTTGCCCTTCCTTACACTGAATCAGATTGTCAATTTTGATGCCCATTCTTCCAGTTTTGAGAGATCCTTTTGGAGTAACTCGCAATTTCTTTTTATTTTAACCACCCTAAATAATTAGATGTCATCAGCAAGCCTGGCTGCTTCACTGCTTACACCTAATTCCAGATCATTTATGAATAAGCTGAAGTACCTTAGTTCCAGGACAGATCCCTGCAGGATCCCTTGGTTTCATCCCTCCTCTCCCTGCTTTCTGTTCTTTAACCAATTACTGATTCATAAGAGTTAGTCTGCTCTTATTCCATGATCGCCAAGTTTGCTCAAGAGTCTGTGGTAAGAGACTTTGCCAAAAACCGTTTTGGAAGGCCAAGTAAACAGTGTCTATTGAATCAGCCCTGTCTGCATGTTTGTTGACACTTTCAAAGAAAATATTAAGGGGGAGGCCTTACCTTTGCAGAAGCAACACTGATTCTTCCTACATGTTTACTAATTTTATCCCTAAGAATGCTTTTAACCCATTTCTCATGATACACATTAAGCTAACTAGCCTGCAATTTCCCAGCTCTCCCCTGGATCCTTTTTAAAAATTGGTGTTGCACTGGCCATTCTCCAGTCCTCTGGTACAAAGGACGGCCTTGGGAACACGTTGCATATTTTCATAAGAAGATCAGCAATTTTACATTCGAGTTCCTTACTGCCCAACTGCCTCTCTAGCTGGTTTCCCGTTCCTGGTATATTTAAATAATTATTTATTGTTGGTCTTGATATTGTTAGAGAAATGCTCCTCCAAATGCCCTTTTGCATCTACTTTCATTTCCCTTGCGCAAGCTTCTGCTTTGTTTTCCTCATTTGGGCAAGATTTCCATTTTCTGAAGGACATTTTCTTTCTTCTAATAGCTTCTTTGACACTGCTCATTAACTGTGGTGGTGAGCTCTTGGTCTTGGTGCTCTCTTTCCTAACTTGTGGTATACATTCTAGTTGAGCTTCTACTATTACGGTTTATGAGAAACCTCCAAAAATTCTGAAGGATTTCAGTGCTTTTGACTTTGAACCCTGTCAACTTCCTTTTTACTAGTTCCTTTTAGTGTAGTTTCTTTTTTTGAAGTCAGATATCGCTGTGTTAGACTTCCTGTCATTTTTTTCATTAAATCTGAAAGCATTGTGGTCACTGTACTGGGACTTGGGCAACACCAATGAGCATTAAATCCAAAATTGCCTCCCCTCTGCTTGTAAAGGAAGAGCAACGAGTTACTAGCACTAGGAGCCACCTATCTGGAAGTCCCCACCAAAATCAGCACCCTTCCTGAAGGACTCACTGGAGAAGACCCTAAAGCTGGGAACAACTGAAGGCAAAAGAAGAAGGGGATGGCAGAGGATGAGGTGGCTGGATGGAGTCACTGGGGCAGTGGGTGTGGGCTTGGGCGGACTCCAGGGGATGGTGGAGGACAGGAGAACCTGGAGGAATTTTGTCCATGGGGTCGCAATGGGTCGGACACGACTTAGCAACTAAACAAAACAAAAACTCCATTTCATAAGCTTCACAGGCTCCCATAACAATGGTGGCAGTGAGGAAAACTAGATCAGTTGGCTTGCATGCAAGAAAAATAACTATAATTGCATGGAATGCAAGTCTTTATATCTGTGGAAAGGAGCTGGGGAACATGGTCCCCCATAACCCATCTGCCTTCTGTCTCGACACCACCATTTTCATCTACTTCTTGCAGGCTTTTGCCTAGAAGAGCTCACACTAGAAAGAAGCAAGCTTCAGGAGGTAACAGGACTCTTTGTTTTTTATACAGCGGAAGGATGTCCAGACTGTGCTGAATTTCTTCGATTTCTTTCTTTCTTTCTTTCTTTCTTTCTTTCTTTCTTTCTTTCTTTCTTAAGAGTGGTGACAGGGCTAGTTATTATTATTATTAGAACATTTCTATGCTGCCCCTTGCTGAAGCCTCGGGGCGGCGGGGAGTGACATGACCGGAGGGAGTATGCTCCTTACCGTCTGTGGGTCCCAGGCCCGGTATGTGGGCCACTTCAGAAACATGAATACCAAACTGGCTAGCAAGAGGCACAACAACAAGCCCAGACTAACAAAGCGCCACATGTAGCTGTAGATATGCCAAGGACGCCAACCCAGCATATTTTCTATGTCACTTAAGAACCTGTGGAAGAAGGAAAGAAGAAGATCAAGAGGGTGGACAGGACACGGAATGGAAAGATTAAGATGCCTAGCAAGCTCCGAGGAAGATAATTCAGGGTCTGTCAAGGGAAGGGGTGCAGAGCTACTTTGGAAACAAGAGTCGAATTCCAATTTGGAAAACCTCTCAGGGGCTGCATTCCATTGGTAGGCAGGGCAATAGCTGAAAGAGGCAAGGCCAGAAAAGAAAACATACCAGCCTATTTTAGTTTAAAGCTCTTCTTGACAGTGACACAGTATTAGATCTCAGCCTTTTAAAGTGTACAAAAGCAGGGAAACCACCAAACAATGGGTGATTGAGGGGAAGGGGGATGGGAGAAGGATGGGTAGCTTTTTGGGGGCATGAACTTGCATGCTCCTGGTTCAAGGCCACATTCCTGCCCAACAAAACAGAAATAACAGAACTAGCAAGGGTTTGGGTAAATTTGGGGAGGAAAATCACCTGTCAGCTCCATAGATCCAAGCTACGGCAAATGCTTCGAATGCTACAACAATAAGCAGGGGCAGGGTGGCCGAATAGTCGTCAAACATGGTCACAAAATAGTTGCCTGAGCGTTGAACGAAAATCAGGCCCAGCAAGAACCCGACGGAACAACACAGCACTGTGAAGGCAGAAAAGAAGGGCATGCAAAACCTCTCTATTTTGGCAAAATCTAATGAACCATACGGATAACTACAACCCTCACCCCACCCATATGGCCTCGTAATTCATAATGTTCCCCTCAGTTGCAGTTGTGCTCAGGACCCGGCAACGGCTGCTCTGCCTCACCTGTGAAGAGGGTCCGCCGACGGCGGAGGCTCTGGAAATTGTCCAGCAACGGGGTGATGATCCCTTGCATGTTCCCCAGCATGGTGCTTAGGCCCAGGTTCAGCAGCATGAAGAAGAACATCATGGACCAGAACGGAGCCGTCGGAAACAGAGTCATGGCCTCTGTGAAGGCAATGAAGGCCAGGCCTGTGCCTTCCACACCCTGCGGCCGAGGGAGAGGCAGAAGGAGAATCGGGGATCATCTACTGAAGCTGGCATGTCTAAGCCGAGCAGAAGGAAATGCTTCAGCCCAGGCAAAGTCCACAGACCTGGTTATGGCACAGACCGGGATGCCCAGCCTTTCAGTCCAAGGGCTGGATTCAGCCTCGGAGAAGCTCTTGACCGGTGATGGGCAGGCCAATTCATTCAGCCATTTTAGCCAAAAGCTTTTACTGCTAGGACTAAGTCTTTGGAGAGACATCTCAGCCTTTCAGACTAGGAAAAAAGAGTAAGCTGGAAAACAGCCAAACAACTGAGGACTAGGATTGGGGCCAGGGGAAGAGAGACTGGCCATTTAGGCAACCCTGAAAGTCTGGATTTAGGGCCTGAGGAGTGTTGGGTTTGGCCTGAGTCTGCACTCCTGCCTGTTTCTCCAGTGCCATGCAGGAAGAGGGACCCTAGCTCCAACACCCCGTCCGCACGGCCCAATCCCCGTAATTCTGCTTAAAACAGGAACAGGTTGCAGGTGATGAGAAGCATCTCAGCCAGCGAGGGGAGACAGTCCTCAGCAAGAGGAACAGATTATTATGACCAGGTATTAGGACAGCTTTCCTTGTTCCTACCACTGGCTTGTGCACTAAATGCAAGACCATTATAGGACTATACAGATGTGGGGTTTTATAATTGCAGGTCAAGCTCTTCTTCCCTATTTCTTCCTCCTTCAGCTGATTTATGTGTCTGGTTCCAGAGAAACACCGATGATTACTTTTCCCATGCTTTGCGTGGGCTACCCATTTTGAGTGGGTGTGGGTGGGGGGGGGGGAGAGAGAGAATGAACCCTGACCCTGGTCACTCATCCCCCTTCACTGCATCCTTACTCTGTGCAGCAAAAGTAATGGGTAAAGACAATCTGCAGCTGTGGAACAGCACAGGCTGCCCCCACTCGCATCCCACCTGGCAAGCACAGCTCACCAGCCTTGCCTTGCTTAACTATGCCGATTTTGCCATTCCAGGAAGCTTTATTTTGTCCCAGGCAGGCCACCATAGCAGGCTATGTTTTGACTGTTGTGTCTCGAGTTGGGCTGGGCGAGTATAGCTGAATGGTCTCCCTCTCGCTTTTCCGACAGCCTCCCCCACCAGTGGAGATGCTGCAGAAGGAGACGGATGCCGTTTCCGGGCTGCCCAGTTCCGCCCCTTTCCCAGGCACCTTGTTCATCTCGTCCTCGACACGGCAGTTGCTGATATTCCAGTTCTGCAGGTGCTCCCTGGTGTCGTTCTGGAGTTCCTCATACCAGGCACTGTAGTGAATGGCAGGGAGCTCAGAGAAGTTTCTGAAGTTCTCAGGGGAGATGGTGCCATTTGAGACCAGGTCGGACAGCAGCTTCATATTCCTGCAACAACGAGGATCCGAAGGGTTAACGATCACACATTACTACAAACTCCAAACAGAAGCCTGAGGCCAACCGCCTAGAACTGATCCCCCAGCAAATATGTTGGAATATCATCCGCACAGTGCTGAGTTGGAGCACGGCTCTGTAGCCAGAGGTATCTGGAGGGCACCAGGTTGGAGAAGCCTCATTTGACCGAAAATATTCCAGAACATACTCTGGGAGCGTTTGATGCGGTCATCGTCCTGGAACTTAGCAGATCCATGGCTGAGGAATGCCTGGAGAAGAGGCCATCAGGAAACCCATGAGGTCACGGACAGAACAAAGGTAGGATAGATAGTTATAGGTTAATGCTAATCCAGGAATACAAGCCCTTTTTGGCCTCAGGCAGGACCCAGATTCGAGAAAGGCATGCGAAGAAATGAGACTCCAAAACCCTTAGTTGGAAAATAAATCCAAGAGCGTCCTTGTGTGTGGAAACATTTTAACAGCCGCAAAGCCCAAAGGGGTGAGCTAAAGGGGTGAGCCCTGGCAGGGCAGCTACTGACCTGGCAATGCACTTCTGCGTGATGCTGTTGGCGCGAAAACCCAGCACGGCAAACACCACCAGCGTGGCCAGCACCGAGGTGAGGAAGTTGACTCCGGACACAATCAGCCCATCGGTGTGGCAGTTGTTGTGGCGTGAGTTGTAGCTGGAGTAGGCGATGATGGTGCCGAAGCCCAGGCCAAGTGCGAAGAACACCTGGGTGGCCGCCTGGCGCCAGACCTGCATATCTCCCAAAATGGATATCTTGGGGAGGGGGAGAAGACAAGTGCAGGGAACAGACATTTAGGCAGAAGTTCATCTTTAGAGGCCACGACGCAGCTTCTTTGGGGGAACACGTCGAGTTGATTGCATCCCTGCCTCTGCCCTGTCTTTCCAGTTGTCCCCAAGGCAGCAAATACCGGCAGGCAGAACTTGCCAGGGTATTTAATTCTATTTGTCAGGCCTGAATCAAGGCAATGGTTTCCTCTCATGCTAGAGGCTGTGTTATCCTACTTGCTTTTCTGTATTACCTTCCACATGTTACTGCTGGGTCTGACAGTCACTTTGCTTACCTTCTATATATTTAAGCTTTATATAGAAATGCCACCAACTGTAGTTCTTGCATCTGTATAGCCACAGTACCACATTTTGGTACTTCTATAGGTATCTGCCTGCTGAGGAAACACTTCATATTTCTGGGGAAGCAATCTCAGTCCCCAGCATCCAATCCCTCAATCAATCTGTTGCAGATGTCAGTGGGTCTTACAACTAAGAAGCTTGCAAAGGATTCTGTGCATCATGATAACCTTCCACATATTCATACAAGAGTTTGCAGGAGCAATAATGCAAATCTGCTCTTAACCAGACATTAAGACAAGCAGAGGCAGAATTAACTAGGGTCCAGATAGCACTGGGATCACCAGCTCTCGTATCAGCCTCTCTCCAATTGAGATCAGAGCATTCCAGCTCCAGGTTCCACCTCATTTAAGAGCCCAATTAAAAGCTGGACCACCTGTCAGGCATCCCACAGTGGTGGGACACCTTTCTTCCAGTGGTACAGTTAGCCGCTTTCCTTCTGGCATCTCCCAAACAGACTGACACTCTCCTGGTTCAATGTGCTGTCAGCTTTTATCATCAGTGGTTTCTCCTGTTTGACTGCTTGACTTTGTTTTACTGAATTCACTCTAAGCAGTTTTTACTGGTTGGTTCTAAGCACAGAACAAAAGCTGCACTGGATCAGACCAAGGACCCATCTTGTCTGGAATTCTGCACACCTAACAGCCAGCCAGTTGCCCACCACAAACCCACAAGGAGGTCTTGAATGCACCCTTCAGGCCTTGTTCCTTAGCAACTGGTGCACACAGCCCACACTACACCTTGTGGCAGCAAATTCTCCAGTCTGAACGCAAAAGTCCTTCCTTTTGTCTGTCTTGAATCTCCCACCCTTCAGCTTCTTTGCTAGTATCACATGAGAAGGAAAAAAGCATGTTCTTCTCCACTTTCTCCACACCACGAATAATTTTGTCATTCTCTAGTTATGCACACCAGTTTTTCTAAGCAGCCATTTCTTTACTTAACCTCTGAACATTTCCTTATGGCACTGCTGACTGCTCTGATACTGCCGCTGAAAAGAGGACGCTGAAGTTTTGTATGCAAAACCTTAAATAACACTATGTTGTGGGTCACACCAAAACGCGGAGAAATTGCATGCAGGAAGGGAGGGAGGAAAGAGCGTGTGACCAGCACAGGGGCACTGTGCCTGCCCAGGGCAGCTTCCTCTTACCTTGGGGGTGAACATGATCTTGATCCCATCAGCTGCCCCTTCTAGCAGCAATGCTCGGATGAGGAAGCAGAAAAGAATCACATAGGGGAACAGAGAGCTGAAATACAGGACCTGGGAAGGGATGGGAGAGGAGGGCAAGGAAATAAAAGTCAGGGAACAACAGCTACTGGTGAAACAAAAAATCTGCATTTTATTTCCAAACTCCCTGCAGTGAACTCTCCTTTGCCAGCTCTCTCTCCCCCACTCTGTCTTTTATGTGTCTTTTTTAACAAGTGGGTCTTCTTCAAGACCAAATGCTGCAAAATAGCATTAAAACTATGCAGAGTCTATTGCTGAAATGCAAATAATAGCAATATTTGGCTGTCATGCAAAATATGGCAGGACACTGGGCAGGAAAATCCATTTCTCTCCCCAGCTCCTCTGAGGACTGCAGCTAAACTCAGAGGGAACACAGAAAGTGAAGTGGGTGGCAAAGGCCATCAGTGTGTGAGCTCCTGTATTCTAATGTTTACTGCATGTTAGAGAGGGACTTTGGAGACTTGCATGCACTGGCTTAGATGCTGAGGACATCTTCAGAGGCCCTCCTCTGGGCACTGCTGCGAGGGAAGCTTGGTGGATGGCTACAAGAGAGAGGGCCTTCTTGGTTGTGGCACCCTGCTTGTAGAATTCCCTCCCCAAAGGGTTTGTCTGGTGCCTACATTATCTTTTTGCCACCACGCAAATTTTCTCTTGGGCATTTTTAGAGACCCAGTGCTAGTCTGTTATGGCTGTTTTATTGATTCGGTGCTCTTCACTATTTTGCATTATGTTGCATTTTATTCTTTAAAGTATTTGTTTTGCATTTTATGTTTTCAGCAGTCAAACAGCCTTTTAGTTTTTTAATTGTCTGCAATTTGCTTAGTGTACATGAGTCAAGGAACAGCAGCTGGGACTCAGGAGGCCTGGGTTCGAGTCCCCACTCGGCATGAAGTTTGCAAGGTGACTGTGGGCCAGTCAATGGCTTTCAGTCTAACTTGTGTACCTCACAGGACCGTTGTGAGGATAGCATGGGGAGGAAAAGGGTCATAGAAGCAACCTCGGGTTAATATGCGTGCCATAAATGTATTTTTTTTAATGTTCCTGCTAATCAAAAGGTCCTACCGCTGTGACCCTGCAAACCTTCACTCCACTGACTGCCACCCTGAGAGGCCTCTAATGTGGGTGGGCGTTCTTAGAACAAACTGCACTGCTTTGATCTCCAGGATTTCAAAAATTCATGTATTAAGTAAAATGCACACTGCAGTGCCCTTATACCAGGGGGCACCTCAGCATCACCTGTCACGTAAGATCCACCTTCACTCCTCAAAAAATATGTATACATAAACCTCAAAAAATGTGTATATAAACCGTTGTCCGTATGCATTTGATGGACAATAATCATATGTGCATGTCAGAGTAAATCTGTTCATCTTGAAAGTAACACAAGATACTTTGCTGGTTTCGTTGCAGCAGAATAACCCCCTGAAAACCAGATACTCTAAAATATTTGATGTTAGTTAGCTTGAAATCCTATACACACTTACCTGGAAGCAAGTTCTACAGAATACAAGGAATCACATTCCACTTGGCGTTCACTGAGTACCAGCCAGACTGGAGCAGAAACATGCATAGGATTCCAGTGCCGTTTGTGTATTACAGACATTTATAAAAGCCCCGGTCATACTTGTCAGCTGCTATTCCAAAGAGAGGCCAGAACCGTTTCCCTTGACCTGCTGCCCTTCTTCTCCCCCAGATATTTTTGGCTGCAACGCTCATCATTCAAAATAACAGCTGACCTAAAGACTTGCTTTTCTTCTAAAATCAAAAGCTAGAAAAATAGGGAAGGCATCTGGAAGTTCCATGAGGGATCTCATGGATGCAACCCTGACCAGAAGGTCCGGCCCAACTAGGTGAAGACTGGAGCAGCAGGCGACTCACCTTGCCAGAGGACTTGATGCCTTTGATCATGGCCAGACACACTAGAACCCATGCAGCAAAGAGGCAGCCAGTAAGAGCCGGATTAAGGCCTCCACTCTCTTCAATGGAGCTGGTCACATGCAAGGCCTTTTGATACCAGAAATGGACAGTGGGAGAACTGGCATCACACTCCGTTTCTAAGGAAAGAATGAGAGCAGAGAGATGTAAGGGTTTGTTTGCGTGTTTGTTTATAAAATTTGTATGCCGTTCAATTACTAACGTCTCTGAACGGCTAACAGCATAAATAAATTGATGACCCACTCTGGCTGCAAGTTAATAAAATACAATAATAAAATTCAATATTAAAACGTATTAAAATATTGATTAAATAAAAAGGTCTTAACCTGGTGCAGAAAAACATATAATGACAGCGCCAGGTGGACCTCTCTGGGGAGCACATTCCATAGACGGGGCGCCACCACAGAGAAGGCCCTCCTCCGGGTACTCTGTCTCCTGACGTCTTTCACAGAGGGTTCCCGGAGGAGGGCATCTGCTGCCGATCTCAGGGGGCGGGAGGGCAAATAGGGATATAGGGTTGGGGTAGATCCCCTTTGTATCCATGCCCTGGACGTTTATTTTGGAAGGAAAGAGGAAAATGCCACATGCGTTTGGTCTTATATTTCTTAAAAGCTTCCTGAAAAGCAGGAGGCCTCTTTTGCCTCCAGGCTGGTGACCTCCAGATGGGTTGGCAACAACTCTCAGCATGGCTGTCTGGGAAGTGCTGGGAACTGTAGGGCTTTTTTCTGTCTAAACATGTATAGGATTGCACCCTAAATTTAGGTATTGGTCGATACCTTTGGGGTGGTTTACAATAAGAAAACCCTGCAATAAAATAACATGAAAAACAACAAATACAACAATGAACATATCAAAATAGTGAAACATGAAAGCCCCTTTTCTCTTGAACGCCCAGCCTTTGTTCGCTCATCTCTTACCCAGGATCCAGAGAAAACTCACGGCCAGATCATAGCATTCAAGCAGATTCTTCCAGATGTTGGTGGCAGAGCACCTGCTTTTGCATGCCAGTTTCACTCCCTGGCATTTCCAACTAGCATCTGGAAACTGGTTTGGTGAGGGTCTGAAAACCATAATCCCCAGCCCACAATCCTCTGGATGGAGGGAATGATACCTAAAAGCAGTCTGAGATGCAGAGATGTCCTGCAGTGAGAAGAGAGTCCTTGCCAGCCTATTTCACTTACCTGGGACTGTTTGGTTGGCTGTTTCTGAGCAGTTAGTCCAGGGCAAGGGAAACTGGAAGGAATTAGCCAGGTAGAAAATGCTCCATGCAATAATGACGTTGTAATACAAGGCGACAAAGGAGCAAACCTAAATGGGGGAAGAGGCAGAAATCAGGCACCTCCACTTGCTAACTGCCTGCAACTGCTCCTGGCACAAGTGGAACTGGCCGTGTTGTGTCTTGCTCTTTAGAACAGTGTGTTGCACATCTTGTAGCCTGAGGGCCAAATTCCATTTTGGGGAAGCTTTCTGGAACTATATTCCAGTGCTGGGTGGAGACAAACAGGGCATGGCCAAAAATACCAGCATATTGAACAGTAAAACTCTTATCTGCCAGCATCTGGACTTCAGGAGAGGATATACAACATTTTAGAATCAGAAGATCATCAGAAAAGCTGGGAAATCACCAAGCCACCTTACCTAAAGGGGCATAGTCTTTTGGGAACCCCCCTGAGAGCCAAACTGGGACTTTTGGCATGCAGGATGTGGCCCCCCAGGCCTGAGGCTCTGCTTTAGGAAAAAATAGCTATGGGGGCCAACCAATCTAAGTCTGGGCTGTAACGAAAGGGGAGGCATACAACGCTTTGGCCCTTGTGCCATCTTTCAGGTAAAAGGCGCTCTCTTTATCTATCTGCCCCACAAATCTGCCATTTGCAGCACCTCCAGGAGCTATATTTTCAGTACAAAAATGGCACAGGGAAGTGAACCCCCTTCTGTTGCACCACAATCTCAATCTGGATTACATTCTTTACTGCTGCTTTTCTAGAGAAAGAGAGGCAGCCAGTTCCAAGAAAGTTAACTATCCAGGTTTGTAACCAAATGTATAGTTTGTTCTTTAGACAATACCCTAACCCTAATTCTTTATGATGCAGCTGCTTCTGCACCAAGGCATGGGAGATGTTTCATATACATGTCTGCAGACGTTTATGGCAAAGAATGAATCGCATCTTTTTACAAACATTTCCCCCATGAGCCAGCTGACTGCCATGGGCCACCATCCACTAGCCCCTGCATCATATGACTTTCACCCTACTCCCCAATGACCCACTTGGAAGGCACGGGTGCAGGATACTCACCACACAGCTGGCAAAGCCGATGCCCACCAGGCGGGGGCTGATGTGCTTCCAGACCCCAATGCTGCCCTGTCGGATGATCTGCCCAGCCGCCAGCTCCAGGAAGAAGAGAGGGATCCCAATGACAAAGAGGAGCAGCAGGTACAGTAGCAGGAAAGCACCTGTCCAGGTACAGAGTTGGAACAAGACAATGTTCTACTGTTCATTTGAAAGACACCATCCTCTCCCAACCCCACAAGCCACAGCCCTTCCCCCAAAGCAGCAGAATAATTCAGGGAGAAAAGAAATATACCCAGCAGGCAAGAACAGGTGTGAAGGGTTGGGCTGCAGGGTGAGGTCCTTTGGGGCAGGGAGTAACACCATTTCTGAAAACGTTACTGCTTCATTCAGAGACCAGAGGATTGTTCACACTGGCATAATCTCACTCTCTCCCAGTCCCAAGTTGGCCAGAACTACCTACATTACTCACCTCCTCCATTCTGATGGCAGAGGTACGGGAAGCGCCAGACATTGCCAATCCCGACAGAAAAGCCAACCTGAGCCAGGATATACTGGGCCTTTGAGCCCCAGGTAGGCCGGGAATCAGATTCATCAGCAAGCAGATCTTGATTGCATTCACCTTCAGGGTTCACTGAAGATTCTAGGTCTGCTTTGGATTTCTCCATCAGAGAGGATGTGCAACACACGAACACGTGCACACACACACGCGCGCGTGCACACACAGTACAGACAACAAGAACTTAGGACCCTTGCAAAGTCACACCTACACACTTGTCTATGCACGTTGATAGGTGCAGCTCAGATGCGTGCAAGCAAAAGCACACTACTTACACAATTATGTGTGCTACTTTGTGAACTGTAGTCCTGGAAAAAGTGGAAAGTGCACTACAGCAAGTATGCACACTCCTTGCACAATAACAGATATCCCTTAATCAGCTGTGTGTGTTCCTGTGTCAACATCCTTCCACAATGGTCCACATGCTTGTACAGATACGCACAGAGTTTCTACCACTATGCTATCATATGGTCACAGGTACTCATGTTTACACAGTTCTTCGGAACATTAAACACACATCTACACATTTCAACATGAACTAAGTTTGCCCTTATCGCTATGCCGTTCACAGCTGTGTACATGTAGAATGACAGCTTTCTAACGCAAACGTTTTTGCCTCAATATTAAGCAACTCCTGTGCTCTACTTTCCCATGCGCAATCACAGCCAATTCATTGTGCTTTGGCACATTTTGATACATACACTTGCATGCAACACATCACACACATGTAACTGTGAGAAAATCGTACGCTCCAAGCGTCACAATCGCATCCCCACACTTGCAGCCTCTTCAAAGCAAAGGGATTCAGACCTAGAGAAATAGCAGACACAGAATGGCCGTATCAGCAGAAGATTGAGAGACATAATATGTTGAGATATAAAATCAGTTCGGACATGATTCTCGATACTCCAGAGCGTGGTTCAGAAGAGTCCTCAAACTGACTGGCCAGTGCGGGTGCCCTCTTTCCGTTCCTCCTCCTGAAGACTCCCCCTGCCCTCCTCTCCTTTGTGACTGCAGACTTTGCTCAAGCATCTTATCACGGAAAATCAAACACACTCTCCGAAATCAGAGAGTGAAACTAAATTCAAACAACATTTCCACCCTGGTTGGAGGGCAAAGCATAGTTTGCTCAGTCTGGATTTAAATTAGCATAGTTTATAAAATTGGGAACAGATCTATAATAGACTGTCTGCCTGTCTCTCCCTCTCCCTCTCTCCCCTTGTGCAATATAATCTGCAGTAGCAAAGGAAACGTTAATCAAAGGAAAATGGTGCACTAAGAGCTTTTCATCCATTTTCTCCCAGGAAAAGTATCACAGTAAGAGGAAGATCACCTGAGCTCCTGACATAGGCCAGAAGAGAAGCTTGCTTGGTCCGGTCCCTCTACTTTTCTGCAAGCAGCACTGTTCCAAGTGCCAGTCACCCTCTGACCACCTTTACGAGGGAGAAGTCACTCTGGCCTGTCCTTTGACAAAGCGTCAAAAGATGCAAGGTGGCGGCAGCCCCGTGTCGTCCCAGCAAAGACCAGTTTGGCCTCACTGGGGCAAATGTTTGCTGCAACGGTTTGACCATTCTTTTTGGCACAGTCAGACCAATTTCCTTTCTCTCTACCATTTGCTTTGTGCTTCAGGCATTTATGCCTGGCTTTCATTTATGTAAAAGCACCAACTCCGCAAAACATCTCACATTGAATTTAAATAGTTTGGGAGTATTTTGGCAAACAGCTTTCGTCAGAAGAGTGGGGTGGAGGAAAATATTAAAGAGAGGCAGAGAGGTGGATAGCGACTTCACCTGCTCTCAAGCTGCCGCCGCCTCTGGTCTCTTTCCCCAGAAGCTTAATAAATAAATGTTATTTATGTTCACAAAGTCAGAGCAGCAGCTCTTCAGAGCCAGAAATACTCCAGGACAGAGGTCCTTTCAAAGGCCTGTTTGGACATCTTCTTACCACTAGCACCAGCAGATTCAAGTTATGCTAAATGGTACATCTTTCTAGAGCTAATTACTAGCCCCCAAATTATTCAAATTGACATAAATGCATGTTGCTTAGATGGCCTGCAAAAATTGTTTTGCAGTCACTAGAAACTTTGTTTGCTTTTTCTTGGAACAAACCGAACTGTTGTTCATGACCAGGAAAGAAGAGTTGGCTCTCATGAAATAAGTACCGATGGAAGAGAAAAGAGAGTTCTTTAGAAATCGATGGAAAAAAACTGGGGTCTTTGGGGAAAATCTGAGGTAACTGCATGGAGTAAAGACATGCTATTCTACAAACAGGATTGTTTTGGATTACAGCTCTCAAATGAATTGACCATGATGGTGGAGTCTGATGGAAAGAGTAGTCCAAAAGTCTGGGGGCCACCCAGCTGCCTATTCCTTGCTGAAGAATGCTGGGTGTTGTAATACATGGGATTGCATCCTTAGTTGTTCATTAGTAGCCCTGAAAACTAGTAATTGAAAAAAGAGCAAGAAAACGAGTTCAAATATCTGGATGTCCAGGGCTGAGTTAGTTATGAGCATGCAAAATCTGGCCATGTGGGTGTTCCGGTCTTCTGCCCCTTTTTCAGCATTACTGGTTGCCCCTAACTGGATCTTCCCAGTCACTTTTGGCTTCATCCGAGTTCACTTCTCTCTAATCCTAGTAAGGAACTCTACAATTCTACCCCAGCTTTGCAAGTTCTGGCCTCATGCTTTTTTCATGGCCTTCCTCCATTGTGCCAAACAAGCCCATATCTATGCACACTCTCTTTCTCACCTCCCAATCTCCAGTTTTGGGTAGAAAACTGTTTCCAGTATCACCAATTTTTCTCTGTCCTCTTCCCAGCTGCAGAACTGACAGAGAATACAAAATTGGTGGACTCCAAAAATACTCTGTGCCACAGGACCGATCGAAGTTTCTGTTGCCCTTCTGCCAACAGGAAAAATGCTTTTATTTAAGCTGGTATGTAAAGAGGCATGCTGCAACAGATTCTGTTTCTGTCCCGTAATGGTTCTGTGTTTGATTGTGTTTAATGCATTTGTTTTAGCATTATTTTACACAAGTTTTATTTATGCTTTTTCTTGGTGGAAAGGCAGGGTACCAATGAAATCAAATCGATAGAGAAAACGACAGAACTGGTGGACTCAGATACTTATTTCTTTTCTCCTCCATGTCTTTGCAACCATTCAGAAAGCCCCTAGAAAACACCTGTCCCCTGCCTCTGTAAAAGAGCGGCATGAGACATCGGGCCAGCTTCAGCGCGTGAATGGAAGATAACTTCAACCAGCATGCCTGGCTTCGTGTTCATGGTGATCTTTTGTTCTCCACCATCCACTTCCCTCTGTGCCAATGTCAATGCCAAGCTCTCATTATTTCCCACAATGAGGACTTGAAGCCAATCTAATCTTTGCAAGAACATGAGAGACCAAGGTCAGAAATGAAAGGGAGGGTGCCCGTTTGCAGGGAAGGGGAGAGTTCAGGAAAGGGGCAGTGCTGGCACAGAACGGGTTGTGCTTGACTATCAGGCAGTGCCAGCCACATATCTGCAGGACTTTGAAGTCCTGTTTGTCAAGCCTGCCCTCCTGCAAATTAAGAATAACAGATATCACTACCTTTGCATCTGCAGGCGATGCATATGACGACATTCTGCAAGGTATCTTGCAGCTGAGAGAGAAGCATGCACGTGTATATTTGCGGCACTCCATTACAAAAGAGCTTCCACGTGACCGATCCTTCTGTCCCCCCCATGAAGCTCCCAGGGAAAGCTGACTTGCTTTTCTGATACCCTTGTCTGGCTTGTTTGACAAGTGAAGGTCAGACCAGAGTGCAGCAAAAGACCCAGTCCTGCACTCAGAAGGTCCGGGTGGACTCCTTGGCATCTCCACTCAGGCAGCCGGTGATGCAAGGGACCTTTCTCTGCCTGAAACCCTGACGAGGCACTGGCAAGACCAGGCCAGGGGCAGGCTGTCTTTTGGGGCTGTGGACAGATCCGACAATTTGAGAAACTGCCCTGGGCTCCAAGGCAAAGTGGAGAGGTGGCAAAGGGGCGAGTGACCTGGCCAAAAGGCCAGCCCAGTCTGCACGACTCAACAGTCCCTCATCAGTTAATTGTTCCTGGGGGTCCCATGGTGTGTGCCCACCAAACATTTCCAATATCTTGACCACCTGTGCATTATGGCAATAAAGAAGGGTGCCTTATAAAGCATAAGGCATTCTGTTGCTAATAGCTTGTGAATAAAAGAAGTAAGCATTTTGCAACTAAGATTTTTTACAGGACTGTATAAAAGTATAATCCCTTCATGTCTGGGGTTTTTGATACAATCGGAGGATTTTTTTAATCTGATTGTTTTTCTTGTGTATCTTTTGAATCGATTTAATAAAAAATTATAACAGCATGAAAGAGCCCCTGAGAGGATCACGTGCAGGGGGACTGCTGTTTCAGAGCTGTTGTGGCACGCTCTAGGTTGGGCAACTCCTACCAACACCAAAGTGCATGCAAGGCCCTGCTGCGTGTGGTTTGCTCCCCATGTTTTTCGTTTCGCAAATCGGAATGAGGCAAAAGCTTCAAACATAAGCAAAGTACTACATTGGGGGAAGTGCTTGTGAGCGAGTCCTTAACTCCTTCCCCTTACGTTGTTTTTTCACCAAAAGATCACACACCTCCTTACCAAGCTACTGTCTCTCCCTTAAGACAGAAATGTGCGTATGCACACACACATTCAGATCACTGGTTTTCCAGTGCAGTTTGCAGCTTGCAGGACTACATTATTGTCAAATGTTCAATTAAAGAAGAAATCTTTGGGAAGATCTAAGCATGCCTGAGAAGCATATCTTGCTTCATGAGGTGACCCATATTTAAACAACCGCGCATCGCTTCGGGCTCTGTATGGCTGTGAAACAACCGTTTCAGTTTCTTGCACTATGAACAACCGTTTCAGGCCTCTTCAGTGAAGAACGACTGCAGATGATTCAACCAAGGGCCAAAGGGGTTCAATTTGGCCCATGTGCGCCTGGGCAAAAATATCTTTCTAGCAACCTGACCACTTGGTAGATTCTATCAACCTACCAAGAAGAGGAACAAAGAAGCAAATTTGTAGCATTTTAAAATTATCTTCACCTTTTGGCTGCTCAGTTATTTATTTCTTTAAACTTTCCTTGAATTATTGCTGCTACTTTTAAAACAGTTTTTCATGTATGGTATCATTGGTTTCATTGTATTTCCTTTGTCATGCAAGTCATCTCCAGTCCTTCAGCTATAAAGTGGCCAATGAACCAAGTATTTTTTTTAAAGCACAGTTTTTCTGTCTAACAAGGAGTATAGCAACTTTTGTGTCTTTCCTACTTGTGACTAGAAACTCCTCTGGGAGTGTAAACATTTTTAAAAGCCTTTAATTATTTTGCTTCTTTTACTACCATGCTACACTTTTCAATATTGTTTTGTTACTGCTTCTACTATTACATATTATTATACACAATATATATTATCATACACAATAATCATAATTGTGAATTCTCTTTCTTGCAAGAGCAGTGTGCCCTGGATTGATCTTGGTCATGGCAAATCCCAACCATTCTTCAGAAGAAAAGTCCACTCACCTGTCTGTTGTCTTCACTCCCAAACGATTCCCAGAGGTAGGTGCCCAAAAAACTGTATCTGTGTTCAGCTTATGACACTGGATTATGTGACACAGCCTTTGATTCTGTCCTCCTGGAAGAGCAAAAGGCGGCCAGACATGAGTGGCAATCACACACAGTCCCAACAAATTCAGCGAAGGCGTGGAGAAAACAGGATCACACCCTCGGTCTGTTCCTGTTACCAATATTGACACAGCTGCAATGTATCTCAAAACTGCACAAGTATGTTTTTCAAGTTATACAGGAATTTACTTCCTTGGTCATCAGAAATGTGTAACTATTATCTTGTGACCCATAAGTCGTAAAAGGGTGCCCCTGCTTATCTGGGGTGACCTTGTGATGATCATATTGGTAAACCAGTTGACTCTAGCTCCAAATTCCTAAATTCAGGATTCCTATCCAGTACATTTCCACTGACTTCCATTCTGCTATAGAAGACATCAAACTAAGATCAGGCTGGCAAATGGACAACTTTTATGTTGTAATTCGTCAGACTCATAGTAACAGGAATTTGCATGCTGTGGAGACCTGGGTTCAAATCCCCAGTCAGCCATAAAGCTTGCTGTTTGGGATCACTGTCAATTTCAGCCTAACCTACCTCGCAGGGTTCTTGGGAAGAGAAATGGGAAGAGCTTGTTGTTATCCTGAACTTCTTGAGGAAGGAGAGGATTAACACTAAATAAATAACTATTCATTAAGTAACTATTAAAACACAGGACACTATATATTTATTTATTAGAACATTACTATGCCGCCCCTTGCCGAAGCCTCGGGGCGGCTTACAACACAATAAAATACAAAAATAACAATATAAAATTAAAATTAACAATATAAAATAAATATAAAATATAAAAGAAGTCGCCCTGGCCAGATAAATAAGCAAATATTGTTAACAATTAAAATGACGTTTGAATAAAAAGGTCTTCACCTGGCGCCGGAAAACAAATAACAACGGCGCCAGGCGGACCTCTCTGGGAGCACATTCCATAGATTGGGTGCCACTGCAGAGAAAGCCCTCCTCCGAGTACCTACCCTCCTAATTCCTTTCATGAAGGGTTCCCGAAGAAGGGCCTCTCCTGCAGATCTCAAGGGGCGGTCAGGCATACATGGATGTAAGCGCTCCTTCAGGTAACCAGGACCCAAGCCGTTTAGGGGTTTATAGGTCATCACCAACACCTTGAATTATAGCCCTCTTCTACCCAAAAGTCCTAGGAGATATGCCAAGAGTACTGACTCTGCAGTGGGTAATATTTTGCTTATTCATTTGTGAGACTTATATACCACTAAACAGAATGCAATCCCTAAGTGGTTCACCTATAAATGTCAAAATCACATTATGCATCAAAAACAATGCAATTTACAGTAGCAGTGCAAAACAATAGAAGAAGCAGAAAAACGGAGCAGCATAATTAATTTAACTACAAGAGGGGGAAATCCGGGTGAACAGTCGTGTTTTCAGGAGGGGTTTGAAGCTTGCCATGTTTTCTGCCTCCCAGACAGCATGTGATTTTTCCAGGGGTCCTGCTGCTGCTGAGAAGGCCAGCTGTTCTGTTCATTTTAGAATGACCAGCAAGGCCTCCTCTGACAGTCTTCAAGGTTGGCTGATACCTGGAAGGAAAAGCTCTGGATATCTTGGTCCCAAGTGGCTTAGGGCTTGGTGTGACAGCAGCACAAGCATGGATGTGACTTGGTAGCTAACAGCAGCCAGGGTGTCTCTTTTCACACAGGTGTCATGTCAGCACTGCTGTGTGTCCCAGTAGCTCCTGAGCATCCAGCAGCAGCATCTGAACCAGCCTGAGGGCAGCCCCACTTAGCGCCCATGTCAGGAGCCCACCTGTGAGGTTACTAGCGCATGGACCCTTGTAGCCAGAGCATCCCTGTCTGGAGCAGGTGCAGTCGGGGCACCTGCCAAAATTGGTAGAGGGTATTCCTGGCCACTGAGGTTGCCTGGGCCTCCAGGGACAAGACGGATCCAGGAGCACACCCAAACTGTGTACCCGCTCCTTCAGAGGGAGCACACCCCATCCAGAACAGGCAAACAGGCCTGGGCACTGCAAGTTTTCTCCGGGATTAAGCTGAGTGTACCGGTGCTCATCCAACTCATTTAGGCACCAACTCAGTGACTTGCCATCCAGATTCCCCTAAGATACAGAGTGAGGTGTCATCAGCATACTAGTGACACCAGGCTCCAGAACTCCTGATCACCACCCCCAAGAGTTTCATTTTAACGTTTAAATAATTATATAAAGCTAATTAAAGAACCCTGTGGAAAAGATATTCCCTGAGGTCAGCTAAGGCTGGTCCGTCTCTACCATCAGATGTGATAATGAACTGCCTTTGTACTAAGCTGATTGGAACAGCCATGCACAGAAAAGGTTCCCCTGGAACCTTTAATTAAAGGATTAATTAAATGTGTGGTCTACAAGTGGTTTTCTCACTCGGCAGCAAGGTGCTCACAGAGTTAGGAAATGACTGGACTCGGCCTGCCCTGGTCCACGTTTTCCTCTGACAACTTCCTCTGCTCACACTTGAGCCCTGTGTGAATCAGCGGGAAGATGGCCCTCTTTCAGGTCAGGTCCAGAGCTTCCAGTGCTCGATTCCACACACCCGCTCCCCGGATCAGCGTCATGTTACAAAGTGACCTACAATCCTTGGCACAGAGGCTGCCACCGCTTTAATAGCAGCCCCGAGCTTCTCCTTATAAAGGAAGTGGCAGAAACAGACAATTAAACCACAGGTTGCACAGTTGTTCCGTCTTTCTTGGAGAAGGAGACCAGCTAGTATTAGAACCGAGCTCTTGCCTCCTTTTAAAACCAGTTTTTGGATTCAGTCCTTGCAAAAAGTGAACACCCACGCAACTCAGTTTGGCTTCCTTCTATGTAAGGATTCAGGTTGCAGGCTGGCTCACAGTTCAGCTTGCTGAGCAAGTCTAACCCTAATTTCCAGGGAGTTTATGTATTTAACATTTGATCCTGCTTCTCAGCCAAAAAGCTTCCCTGGGAAACTTCTGTACTATTATGAAACAAAGCCTGACTGTGGTCTTAGAATAATTCAACAACGAAGGAAAAAAGAATTAGGGAGGAAGAGGGAAATTGGTCTTTCAGGAGGGCTTGTGGAAAGGTCCTGCTTCCTCCTCTTGTCTTGCTCAGGGCAACTTGCTGGAATGACTGTTGGTGGTTGGTTGTGCAGCTGCGGAGACATGTGGCTATTTCATTTTACCCTCACATTCTAAAATTAGCAGATATATATACTGGCTCAGTTCAAGAGACGGGGCTGCATCCAGACCGCAGCAGCACTTAGCTTCCATTGAAATCAATGGGATTAGTCACTCCTCATCCATGGAGCTCATGGGGGACTTTGAGCCAGTCACAGACTTGCAGCCTCACCGACCTCACAGAATTGTTGTGAAGATAAAAATGAAGTGGAGGAAACCCTTGTTGCACCCTGGGGTTCTTCACAAGAGGAAAAAGGGCTGAATATGCATGCAAGGATGTAATAATAATAACAACAACGACAACTTTTCCTAATGATTTGCACGGAACCTAAATGCAACTGGTTTAGTCTTGATCCAGCCCTTTGTGCCAAACCAGGATTAAGGTTAAGCTGCTGGTGTCATGCAGACAAAACGTGGCTTGCAAATGGCCAGAAAGCCAGAGGAAGCACTATGTCTGAACTGGGTTTGGGCAAAGTATGGTTTGTACTAGCTGTGGTGGCATGAGGACTAGGTGAACTTTAGGTGATGATTCAACTGAACACTGCAGCCCTAACAAAAGTCAGGTCTCCTTAGAGGGCCCTTGGAGCAGTTTCATATGTTGTCCTCATTTTTTGAAATCTTGACTTCTTGTGCACAAAACTGGAGCAAGTATCCTGGCTCCTGCCGCCAGATCGCTCCCACTAAACAAGCGAAACAACTGAGCCAGGGCTTGCGGGTTGGCGTGACATTCCACAGAGCAACCATTGAGCGTTTAGGATACAGCTGCTTTTTACAGGCTAAAAATGAAGCCGCCCCTTTTCAGCACGCAGCTGCTTTGCTGAAGGAACTGCACTGGCTGTCTTTCCTCTACTGGGCCAGGTTTAAAGTTCTGACACTTGTGTACAAAGCCCTCAACAACTTGGGACCAGGTTACCTAAGCAAGAACCCTCTCTCTTACCATTTGCCCAAGTCACTGAGGTCATTGGAGGACATTCTCCTGGTTTTTCCCCATGGACCTACAGCTTGACTGGAGCATACCAGGAGAAGAGGCTTCACGGTTGTGGCCCCATTTCTGTGGAACTCCCTGCCTTAGAAAGTCAGGCTGGTGCTGACATGGGTCTGTTTTTGACACCTGATCGAGATGTCTCTTTGCTCTGCAATACCTTCCTTGCTGACTACAATTTTAATGCTTTTCTGCTTTTATCTGCCTATTTTTTATGATTCACCACCCCAGAATCTGTCTAGATTTCACTAAAGCTGTATACAAAGGTAGTATAATTAAATGTAACCTTCCATATTTTTCCAACAGATGCTACAGGGGAAAACAGAACATATTCCCCAGCTGCCTCTACCCACTCCAACAGACCAAACTCTCTATTTGTCCCATGGAAGCATCCATTCTCATTCCCATAACGGACACAAGTGCCACTCCTTGGGAACTGAAATTGCCCCACCCTTAACCCCAAACCACACACCAAAATGGCCCTTGGTGTTTACATATGGGTGGATTGTGGGGATTGTCCCCTCTGCTCTTACCCACATACTTTCTGCCACATCTCTCACTCACACACCAACAGCCAAATCTGCGACATGATTTGGGATTCTTAAGCTTTCTTTATTTCAGCAGCCCTATTTAGATGGAAGAAATCATTTTATGTTTGCTATTGTATTTCTCTGTATATTTAATGCTGTGTAGATTTGAAAGTGGGCCTTGCCAAAGCAAGTAACTGCAGCTAGACATCCTTGAACAGCTTTCCTCAACCTAGTGAGCATCGGATGTATTAGACTACAACCCTCAGCTGGCTGCGGGATGCAGGGGGTTGTATCTAATGCATCTGGAGGACAGCAGGTTGGAGAAAGACTGCTCTTGATGATAGAGCAGGAAATCACCCAGATGTTCCTTATCTGTGTTGTGCTTATTCCATTCTGCTCTGCATTTGCTTCTTCCCAACTTTCCGTGGCAAATAGCAGAATTCTATCAGGGAAATGGATTCCTTTCCACCTCCCACACCCCACAAAAGAATGCTGTATCCCTAATCCAGGCTGGGCCACACATGGCCAAACCCCTCCACATTCAGTTTGGCCCACACACAACGCATCTAGGCTCACCAAACCCCTACACTGCCCACGTGCATCCCAATCTTTCTACCACACACGGTACCACTAAATTCCTTCTACGCTGCCCTGTGCCCCTACATGGCAGCTACCTGTCATGAAAGGGCAACACTGCATATATTGGGGTTTGGTCCCCTAGTTGCTGTGGGACTACAACTGACATCAGCCTCAGCCGTCATAGTCCATGGTAAAAGCTGAGGGACTTTTGGCCAAACAGTAGTTGGAGAGCTAAGCGTTCCCCCGTCTTCTGTATCTTTCTTTATTTAAAACTTTTATATACCACCCAACTACTAGCATCTTGGGATGATCTTACAGTAATAAGTGGCATAAAATGAAATGAAGCACAGCATCCAATTAATTCCAATAAACTCAAACCCACATTCAAACCTGATCAAACATTAAAATAATGGGAAAATAAAAAGCCTTTAGCCCGGCACCGAAAGGAACAGAGTGTCTTTATAGTGTTTTAGGATTGCCATCTGATTAGCATGTCCCAAACCAGACATGTTTTTGCTTGTTAATTACAAGAGCTTGCCAATGAGTTAAATTAGAATTTTACTAAAACAAAAACCCATCAACAACCAAACACCAACATGGAACCCTGCCTTGTTTTTCTCCCATATCATAGGGAGATTATGACAGAACAAGAATTCTCACCTTTGCCGATGTCAGTGAGAGGAAGGCAGGGCAATGCCTCTTAAAAAGTGTTTGCCAGCTACAGTTTTAAAAATGACTTTATTTAACATAATTTCACTGTACAATTTCTGCCAACAGATGAATTGGAGGAGTTTACATGCACACACTTTTTGTTGGAGGGGGTGCCAAATATACTATTTTTAGGGCATAATCCTATGTGTGTTTTGAGAGGAAAAACATCCTATAAATCCCAGCAAACCGGCAGGGCCATGTCAGCTGCAGGGCACTTTCTGAGCAAACATGCAAATGATTGATTGTACCTAACTGAGTTCTTTGGAACTCCCTGCCACTCAGGCCAACACTGTATTATTTTCAGTTTCTCCTGAAACTATTTTTATTTCAAGAAATCTTCCTGGACTCATCAGCCAATTTTATTGATTTTAATATATTGTTTTACTCTTTTATCTGTTTTATCTTGACTATACACCAATCTTCAATCTCCATTGTGGAATATAGAAAAGTATACTCCAAAGAAGAGAGCCTTTCTGTCTAAGGGGGCAGGATATAAATCTAATAAATAAATAAATACATACATACAAATTTGGTAAATAAAAAAGCAATCTATCTACCCGGTTCAATGGATTAAACACTGCAGTCCTCATGATCACTTCACACACGCAGGGCTCAACTTCAAGACCATGTTTCAGGAAAGCATCTGCAGGATAGGGCATGATAGTTCTGGATTGTACACTTCATTTGCTACCAGAAACTGCAGATCAGCCACAAATAGGAGCCTGGTGCAAAAGATGCACACTCAGAATTAAAGTATTCTGAGCTAAGGAATTAGATCCGCCTGGGAAAACTGCACTATGCAAACAGTCTTTCGCCTGCCACATGTTGTCAAGGGGTCGTTTCGTTGCTCCCTGCCATGAAGCTCCTGGAGAGTCAGAAATCCTTGCTGATCTATGTCACATCACTCAGATAACTGTCGACTGATCCAGAAGCTCTGCCTTCCCCTGACTTAGTTTGCACTAAACACACCTACAAACCAGTTTCCTAGCTCCGGATTGCCTTTTGAGCCCAGGGATCCTCCCGTCTTCCCTTCCACCCTCAAGCCACATGTATTCAGAGACACTTTTCTGCCCCACTAGCCTGAGACAGAGCTCCTTATTTATGTTATTGTCCACTGTGTAACAGGCAGAAGACCAACAGGGGTAGCTTGTTGTATCTTGGAATCGTACTGACGACCTGCGAGGGAGACGGGGCCGTGGAGAAGTACGTTCACGGAGTAATACTTTTGCTTGCTGTTACGCAGCTATTCAAATCACACGTGCCCTGGCTGGATTTTTTCCTCGCCGAAATCACCCCGCATCAGAACTGGCGTGGGTGGGGGCTTTCTCCAGAGATATGCTTTCTTCGCCCCACTTACCGGTTCTGTGACAAATTTCCCCCCACGAAGACTTCTCCGTCCGGGGGGGGGGGTGCCCGATCTGCTCCCCAGAAGCAGGAATCGTCTCCTCCTTGCTTCAGCCTTCCCAGCCAGCTGCTGCGCTCCAGATGTTTCGGACAACGCCTCCCCGGATCCCGGCCCAGTGGCCATGCTGGCTGGGGCTGATGGGCGTTGAGGTCCAAAGCATAGGGAAGGCAGCAGGCTGTGGGACGCGGCCACGACCTCCCCTTCTGCCCATCTGGAAGGCAGCAGGTTGTAGGACGCGGCCACGACCTCCCCGTCCGCCCGCAAGAGGTCCCACCGCCTGGCCGCGCCTCGGACCTACCCGCTGGGGCTCCGCGCACCCGGGCTCCGCCGCGGTACCTGGAGAGAAAGCCAGGCAACGCTGCCGCTCCGCAAGCGTGGCCACGTTGCATCAGCCAGCCCCGAGGCGGGCAAGGGCAGGGCGGCGCGGCGGGCGCGGCGGGCGGGGCGGCTGCAGGACCCGCCCCTGCTCTGCTCTGCTCGGAGCTTGCCGCCGCCGCCGCCGCCGCGGGAAGGCGCTGCCCGCCCAAACGGCGCCTCGTCCTCCGAAGCGAGCGCGCAGGAGGCGCGCTGGGCGCGAAACTGAGGCTCGCCCGGGCGGAGGAGCCCTCGGCCCCGCTCGCCTCTTGCGCGCGTGAAGACGGATCGAGAGACTGAGAGGGTCGAGATCCACGAAGTGTGCGCGTTAGGGATGCATTTTTCCGTCGCTCGCATAATCCCCGGAACCCACCAGGAAGCTGACCGGCAGGTGATGCTGCCAGGCCGGGTTGCTTCACACAGTGCATAGTTAAACTAGCGAGTTCGCTTCTAGAAGGCGTGGGGACGGCCCCCGCTTTGGACGGCCTCAGAAGAGGACGGACCGAAGGCTCTCCGTGGCGACTACCGCCCATGTACACCAGTTGCTGTGGAACATGGGAAGGCGATGCTATTGTCCTCACGTCTGGTTTGTGGATTTCCCTAGGAGTGAACTGGAGGGACCTTGAACTGGCTCTTGGTATGTTCTTAGGAATAAAAGGAGCCTTCCCCCAACCTGGCACCATCCAGATGTTACTGGACTGAAGTTCTCATCAGCCCTAAGCCAGTGGTGAGGACTTTTGGGAACTGCAGGCCAACCACATCTGGATCCCACACCTCCTCCTTCGTGTTGTATGCATGAGCGCGCACACACATCAGGCATTTTCCAACAAAAAGAGAGAAAAGGAAATGGTGGAAAACAGAAAAGAAGATAGAAAAGAGGCAAGGGAATATACAGTGACAAGAAATGGCACAAGGAAAGGAGAAATGGAAGTAGATGGAAGAAGTATGGCTTGAAAATAATGGGAAAATGCTCAGGAAACGAACTGACTTTGGGGCTCTCTGGATATAAAATAAACTGGACTTAGGCTAAGGCCAGTGCGATGCAATGGTTAGAATATTGCCCTAGGGCAGTGGTGGCGAACCTGTGGCACGCATGTCACCGTGGGCACACAGAGCCTTCTCTGTCAGCACACGAGACAAGTTGCCCCAGTCTGTGGACGTGGGTGACAAGTCTAAAAGGTTCACCATCCTTGGCTTAGGGTTACAAAAACGAGGTGTCCTGGCATGATTTTGATGGCTGGAATGTGTTTAGAATGGGCAGAAATGATGAGCTGTGCAGAAAAAGCCACTCAAGGAAGGCTTCTTCAAAATCGCCCTCTTTTCAAGGGAACTTTAGCCCTGTATTAGGGTTAGGGGTGTGCGCCAGGGTAGGGTTAGAGTTAGCAAAACGAGGTGCCCTGGCATGGTTTTGACAGTTGAAATGTGATGAGAATGGGCAGAAATGATGAGCTGTGCAGAAAAAGCTACTCAAGGAA